TTTGTGTTTTGACCTAAATTTTTTTTAATTTACAGTATGGACGGGCATCCGTTATATATGGAAGCCTGTCCAAAAATAATGGATGGCCGTCCCTAACTAATGGATGGGTGTCCACATATAATGGACGCCCGTCCATACTTGAAATAATATACCGCAAGGCAGGGAGGGCCGTCCATAACTGATGAACGGGCTACTCTACATTTCGGTATTTTATTTCAAGTATGAACGGGTGTCCTTTGTATGTGGACGCCCGTCCATTATTTAGGGACGGCCATCCATAACATATGAACAATCGTCCATTATTTTTGTTAATATGTTTTTTCCATTTACTGATGAACGGGCGTCCATATTATGTGGACTCCGGTCCACAGTAAATGGACTCCCGTCCATATAATATGGACAGGAGTCCATCGTAAGTGAACGGCCATCCATAGTTGATGAACGGCCATTCACTCGGAAAATATTTGTAAATTTATATGTGGCTGGTCTGAGTCACGGGACACATAGTTCGGTAAAAGAATTCGGTGTATAATCCCGGTGTTCGTAGCATTATTGGTAATAAAAACTGAAGGGATTGTTCAGATTTTCGTTGCATTCTGTTTTAGATTTTGTGTTTTTTATGCATTCTTAATTGTTGTTGTGTAATGTTTCGTGGTTGCGGGTGTAGGATTAACGTTGATGAGGAGCAGTTGAGCTCGGGTACTTGAACGAAAGTTACTTTTGATTCTAATGTCAAAACCTATATAAGAAATTATATATTATTTTTATTTTTGTACTATATTAAAAAAAATTCATAAAAAATTTGGGCCTATTTTTTTGGGGCCCTAGGCAGCTGCCTCACTTGCCTACCCCTTGAGTTGGCCCTGGCTATTGTATGTCCTTACAAGTCTTCTCTTGCTTGACTTTGTCTATAAACATGGCTATGCATTTGTTCCATGGAACACTTTGCAAATGGATGTCTCTATCATAGAATATGAGACTGATTTTTCTAGCATTCACATAAGGAGTAATACTATATATACAAACTTTTCATATAAAGTCATCCATACAAACTGATGTGATTATTTTGCATGTTTAACACATCATCTATTTTAATTATTTAATTTATCTCTAATTCAAAATCACTCAATTACATTTCAATATATTAGTTTGTATAGATGAATTTGTATGAATAGTATTATTCAAAAATAATATGAAGGGATGACTCTTGTACTCAGATTAAGTATGCACTTTATGCCTAATCTTATCCTTGTGCTTACCATATGCTCATTTAATTTTCCACTTTCTAAAGCACAATTACCATGATTATCGCAACGCTTTAGACTATGATGCTCATCTTTTCCAGAGGTTAGGTTTTGTCTACACTAGTTTGGCTTTTTCCAATTTTAAAATTTTTTTTTTTCAAATTTGAAGGCTTACCCTCAAAAGGAGTTGAGACCACTCTTGTTTGTAGTAGTGGGTTGTTGTGTTAGTCTTTTTTAAAAATTAGTTAAGATCCACTTATCAGAAGACTTTGGTTAAAAATAAGTGGGTTCATTATTCTAGACTTTCCCAAGGTGGGAAAGTGGGAATGTGACGTGACCAATCAAACATAAAACTTGAACCCAATTTTAATAAAAGTATTATTCTTCACAAAAGTCGTGAGACAATGAAAGTATCTTCCGGTCTACCGTGGCCACTAGGATGATAAGAGTGAGAGCCTGAGAGGTGTTTTAATTATATTTTTAAATATTACAAATTAGAATTATAAAATACTGTGGATGAGGTTTGTTTTAGTATTTTAGATCATATTTTTTGAAAAAGTAAGACTTGAGTGAGATTAAAGAGGTAGGATTTAAAAATTAACAAAAACAACTCATAGGTTTGTTAATTTACTAAACACCACTATAATAAAAACATTAAAAATTACAAAAACACGTCCATCACCCATTAAATATCGACAGCTGGCCACCATGCCGAAGTCACCATATCAGCACAAGACCGGTTGGATCTGGCCAGTCGTACACCGAGATTGACTTTTCTAACCAGATCCACCATGGATCTGGTCGGAAAATGCCAGATTTGGCCATGTTTGGCCGTTAATGACGTCGTCATTAATGGTCAACGACGGCCATATCTTGGCCATCGTTGACAACTAGCTACGGCTAAAGATCTAGTCGTCCTTTTCCGGCCAGATTTGGCCAAAAAATGATAGATTGACACACTATCGACCAAATCCAACCGGTAATGCGTTATTATAATATTTTCAGAATAGGGAAACAAATATGTATTTTGAAAATAGTAGGAATAGGAATAGTTAAATTATACTTTTATAATTCTTGCTAATTGCCCAATCATATAATAGATATAGTTGATAATTTCTTAACCATTTTATTCAAATAAACTATTATATACATATTAAACACTTATTTGTTGAAGTATCTTAAAGCAATTAATTTTAATTATGAAATATAATGTTTTAATCAAAACTGCATACCAGTTTTCAAATCTTCGGATATAAGAATACCATTAGGAGTATTTTTACTTTTTTAATCCAATGCTTTATTTTATAATAAGAAACATGAACATATTATACATAGTATTAGGGCTAGTTTGGGATTGCTGTAGCTTTAAGTTTGATAAGCTTTTCCCAACTTTGAAATAATCAGCTTTGAAAATAATTTGGAATGTGTTTTGTAAATACTATTTTCATAATTCTGATGCTTGTTTGTTTCTGTATTGGAGCTTGATGCTGATTTTTCCATCTTTCTGACAGGTCTTGAACATAACTGTGAAGCTATACTTGCACATATTTCGCACTAAAACAGGTTACCACCCCTCTTAATAGACTTTGACTCTCAAAAATGTCTTATAGACACTAGTTAGTAAATTCGCAAATAAAACGTGAATTCACATATCATTCACGAATTTCTATAAGTTATCAGCACATTTGTATTATTCGTGAACTATATGCTTCAAATGTTTTATTCATGAATTATTCTCGTATCCAAATTCTTTCCGATTTTTACAAACGTAAATTTTATCATTTGTCATATCATATTCGTAAAAATTTCTTACCCTTTTTTTGCCATACACATATTACTAATTAGGGTTATATTATTAGGTCTAATAGTTATTGGTTAATTGAATATTTTATATTTGAAATGTTATATTGATTTTAACCAAATAATCCATGAAAAGTGCTAAAACAAGGATTGATATTTTCGTATTTTTCAAAATGTATTATTGACAATGTGTTATATTAAACCCGTATCGTATTTTTCCCATATCTGAACTTTATGACCAAAATTTTATAAACGTATTTTTTACCATTTGCCGTATTATATCCGTAAAATTCCCATACAATTTTTTTTACCATACCCGTATGTTGAACCCACATGTTAACTTGATGCCAAATTAACAAATTAAATTCCACTATTTACGCCATGCCTATTATTTAATCCCATTTTAATTTTTCTCATCTCAACATAATAACAATTTTTCGGGGTTCAGAAAACTGTTGAAGAGAAAACTTCCAGTAGCATAGCACAAATGACTTAGTACTTGACTAAGTCCATCAAAATTAACGACAAATAGTGTAAGTGACTAATTACGAGGAGAAACTTATCAAGTTTTTACTTTTTATGTTGGTGAGAGTGGGACATTAATAACCCTAATAGAAGTTAAAGAAGTAAAGTGTTTATTTTAATCTAATAATTTTTTTCTATATGCCTATGAAAGGTTTTAACCTCGTGAGAGGTCTGTGTAATTAATTATGGTAGATACGATCTTTCATCCAATTCTTTCTACTTTTACCCTCTTTAGTCTAATGGTTATTAAGGAAAGCCACTCTAGCGCCCACGTCGCTAGAGTCCAGTCAACTCTAGCGCTAAAGTACAACACTAGAAGAAAAGAAGTTTTTAATTTTTTTTAATTTCTTATTTTTAGAAAATTAAAATAACTCTTATATACATTTACTATTCTTTTTTTTTTAAATATATATTCTTTTACTTAATTTCGTTAATAAAATATAATTAATTAATTTGTTAGCGTAAATAAATTTTGACGTTTAATTTCTGACATTGATTTGAAGAATAATTAAAAAAAAAAAAAAAATTCTAGTAGAGTTACTATAGTGGAGGCGTGAAAGTTGCACTAGGATAAGCAAAGTCAATGAAAAGTCTTATTTACTAAACCAATTAAAAAAAGTGATATTATAACTTGTCAAAAGCAAAAAGGTTTTTAAGTAGTTTTCTCATAATTAAGTACGTGTTTAAGAAATAATCAATTAAATTTTAAACTATAGTAATAAAAGTGTTTGGTACTGATTAAGTTTGAAACTGATTATAAAATAGACTGATCCATAAAAGATTCTAAAATATTATATTATTTTCAAAGTTGATTTGATATATACCCTTGTATTATAGTTTTATTTACAAAGAATTTAAATTATAAATTAATTTAATTAAATTCTTTAAAAATTGTACAATTTAGCTTTTTGGAGCTTAGATAACAAACCAATATCCTCAGGATTTGGACCTCTACATTTGTTATTTGCTAGACAGAGTTATTGGAGAGCTTGGAACATCTAATCTCAATGGTCCACGGAATAGATTAACTTTGAGATTGAGGTATTGAAGCTTTGCTCAGATTGGCAAATACCAGTTCTGGCTGTTCCAGTGATATGGAAGATAATCAGACGATTCTTCTTAGCTGATCCCATGTTAGTTATTTGACTTCAACAAGTCTGACGATGATCCTCACTGTTACTACAGCTCTTATAACCGGGATTGAAGAACTGTCATCAAAGGAAAGCTTTTTACAATGGAGTAATATGATTTTCTCTTTTCCTTGTTTTTCACAGAATAAAAAGTTGCAATTTGGGTGCATCTAATAGTTAAAGCTACTCTGTGTCCATGAAGTTTTCACAAAGCAACTACTAAAATCTTCGTTTACTTTCGTAAGAAAAGGTTTTGGTCTTAATTTCATTTAACTACTTCATACTGGTAATGGTTTTTAATTCAGTTACAAACCCTTCTTACTAACTTTCTCTCACAAACGCGGTGTGTCTTTGCTGATAATTCTTGAGCAACAAAACGCATAGAAGGTCGTTCCTCAGGAGTGGTACGCGTGCATGCTAATGCTACATTAATCACAAAGACTACTTCTTCTGCTAATTGGCCTGTGGGAGGTGGGAGCCGTTGGTCTAAAACATCCTTCAGAAACAATTCTGGATTTTCTGACAAAGACGTTCTTGATGAAGATAGAGAAGTTAGGAGTTCACCCGGGTGCCTTCCCATCATAACTTCTAATGTCACCACTCCAAAGCTATAAACATCACTTTTATCTGTAACCCGCATTGTGAGAGCAAGCTCTGCACATTAAGAAATAAGAATAATTTAACAATCCAAGTTCATAAAGAAAGAAACATTTCATGAAAACAGATTCTAACTTTTAGATCACAAAGAGATAAAGTAGGTTTCAGGACAAGCATCTCTAGGAAAAGATATGAAGTAACCTTATATTTATGATAGGAAAACTTTTTATCTAGGAGAACTGAGTAATCTGTGTATTGTGTGAAGTGCCTGAACTCTGAAGGGACAAGAACAAAATGTACAAAATAAATTGTTTGCTTACCTGGAGCCATGTAGCCATAAGAGCCAGCAACTGTGGTCCAGTTGGAAGTATCTGGATTCAACAGTCTTGCAGTGCCAAAATCTGAGAGCCGTGGCTCAAAATCTGCCTCAAGCAAGATATTATTCAAAGATATGTCCCGGTGCACAATAGGTGGTGAGCAGTCATGGTGCAAGTAAGCAATTGCATGCGCCACTCCTTGCACAATTTTCACTCTCGCAGCCCAGTCCAGCTCTACTTTCCCTTCCAACCCATACAGAACTTTCCTCAAACTACCTCTTTTTACATATTCATAAACCAAGTACAAGCATCCTCTCTTGGAACAAAACCCGTGTAGCTTTATAATATTCCGGTGCCTAACATCCGTCAACACACGAATCTCATTCTCAAAACTTTGACGATTGGACAAGGGAACATCACTTGTGTAAAGGCAACTCAGGATTTTAGTGGAGACTGGAGAGTACTGCATTGGAAAAGGAGGAAAAAACTTTCTCGCGTTGGTTCCGAGTTGGGCACGTTCCCATGGGGCTGTGGAAATAACTCATGCAGATGACCGGAAAAACTGAAGGAAGAAACTAATCAAGTCATTTAATTATATTGAATGTTCAACTCCCTATTTTTATAACATTTGATTGAGATTACCAAGTATAATCTTAAAATAAATCTTCTGTTACCTCAAGGCTCAAACCAAACACACCCTAAAATACATTCAAAAATCCCTTACAGCTTAAAAAGAACTAAATTTGTTTGATTGGTTATACCATGAAAAGGAGTATTTTCTTGTTTCTGCGTTCCGCACCTTACAATCATCTGAACAGCTCACCTTGTCTACCGGATGATCTAAGGCCAAGATTGGTTGAATTGTGTTTGCTGTAATGATTGGTGGCTTCTTTAGAGGGTTAACAGTACCGACAGAAACCCCAACTGAGGGTAGGCCGTTGGGTTCTCCCTCACGGACGAGTGACCTAGGTAGGTTTCACGGGTTATGGGAAGTCATTTGGGGAATTGATCTAGTATCCAAGAGAAGGCCAACCATACTTCACAAATTACAGGGATAACCTATAATGGAAAAGCAGCATAATCCGGAGTTAGATACGGAAACGAAGAAAAAAACCTAAGAAAGGAGAACAATGTCTATGCTTGAGGGGGATGGGGACTTTCGCCAGGGTGGTTACTTAGGCTTGCCCAAATTATTGAAACAAAACAAAAAGGGTTTAGTGTTGACGCAAGTGTTTGAATAAGGTATGACTCATCCTCATCGTATGTGTTAATGTTAAGTATACAGTTTCAGATAATGATTTTTCAACTGTAACCTGTTCATGAAATCTAATCGTGCATCTTAAATCAGAGATATAAGAAAATTGTGTAAAGGGAAGCCATTCTGTTAATTATCTGAAAATACGGATAATAATTTCTGAAGAATAATTGGGTAAAATAGATCCTTTCCTACAAAGGTTTGTTTGTGCTAGCAGGCTAACAGGTAGAATAATTGGGTAAAATAGACACAGTATTGCTTAATGTTTTGTTGAGTTGAGGAAATTAGGTCATCAAATATTGGGTTCACTACAATATGTTATTAGTGATATAATTACGTGCACACCATTTGTCTGAAGCAAAATGAAAAAATCCTGCATGTTTTGAGGCATCTACAACATTCTTTTCTTTTTAATTCTGAGATTGTTAACTTGAAAATTCTTTGTATTTCGTTGTGAAAAGTTTGTGTATTATTAATTTATTGTGATTGTTTTGTTTATAACTTAAAATTTTTAAATTGAAGAATGAGTGTTAGAAGCAATGAGGGATAAAATGAGCATTTTGATGGTCAACTGGATGGAGAACTACCTGATAGATAGGGTTGAACCACTGTAGTTATTCCTATGTTAGTATTGAACAAGTAATATTAAGATGCCAAACCTGTTCAAACTAGAAAACACACATCTCATTCTTATCATCCTAGTGGCCACGATAGACTGGAAGATACTTTCATTGTGTGATTGCTGGAAAAATCAGCCTCATATTCCTCCATAGAAAAAGCCATTTGCAAACTTTTCCATGGAATAATTGCAGAACCATATTTATAGTCAAAGTCAAGCTAAGAGAAGACTCGGAAGGACATACAGTACTAGCTTTATTTCACTAGCTTGAACCCTTACATACNTCTCACATTGCTTAGTATTAAGCTTATTTGTTCAAAAAATATTAAACACCCCTATAATTACATAAACCCCTTGAAAACTATCAAAAACCCCCTTACAAAATTAAAAAACTCCCCAACAAGGTTATGTAATACTTTCTAAAGGAAGAAAAAAAAAAAAAAAAACCTTATTGCTGGAAATCAATAGTACCTCTGGTTTATTGTGTTCAACACATAAGATTAAATACATCACAGGGGAGGGATCCAAATTAATTGTTAGCACCGAATACAGCACGTAAGGTTCCAAATTTTGAAATATTATTATATGAAATCTATTATTTATTAATACTCATAGTAGAAATAACTGCAGAAAACTGATAATAAAAATAAGTAAATAAAACACACATTTTTTATTTCAATAAATAAAAAAAACAAAAATTATTCAGTTTCCCATGTATATTTTTCCACCCAGGTAGAGTTATCCCAGCTAAGGAAGAATGCGTCCTGTCTCACAAGCCAAAATACTTCGCCATGATTTGCATCTCTTTCGGGCTCAAACACAACCCATAGAGCGAACTGATTCTTCCAAAACGACTGGCACCTGTATTTAAGATTTTTATCCACACTCCAACTGTAAACAACGCCGGCGCTGACACCGCCGCCGAATCCGGGATCAGAATTTTCCGGCAAGCAAGTGAGACTCATTTGTCCCCCGTCCTTCGGCAGTGTACTGATAACATGAACCTTCGCCTGATGATTATCATCTGCTTCAAATGCTGTGAAGTGCAATGCAAGAAAAACAAAGAGAAGAAAACGGTAACGAGCAGTTGCCATTTTTATGAAGAAGATGGTTTACGTAGTTCGGTTGTTTATCCTTTGAGTAATACTACACATACATCATTTTTATACAACATTTCTCATACAATATTATGTGGCAAGATATGATTGACTATTTTAAAGTTAAAATTAAACTTTCACCCAATCACATCTTGCCACATAATGTTGTATGGGAAATGTTGTATGGGAATGATGTATGTGTAGTATTATTCTTATCGTTTTTATAAGCCCAAGAATGAGGTTTTTACATGGACACCCCTGAGGTTTAGTGAAGGAACGGAAGATTCACAGGTTTTGAAATAGAATACTTATACCCTTGTAATTTACACACGTTTGTAAAAAAATAACTATTATAAAGATAAAATAGAAAATACAAGTCTTTTATTTTCCAAATGCCTTATCAAATGTCGAAGTTTAATGTTTTTAAATAATTTAATATATTTAATATTTCAATCATGTGACAAATGTCGGACATTAGTTTCTTTGTATCGTAGGATAAAGATAAAATAAAGATATATTACTTACTATACTTAAGATTTGGTGTTATAATTAGCTTTTTAAAATGTTTGTCAATTAAAAGGGTGTAAGTGTTACATTCCAAAATCTTTAAGTCTTTTTTATTTCACTAAACCTCAGGGGTATCTAAAAAACCTCGCTGGACAAGATTTATGTTATATATTACCACAAATTAGGGTTGAAAATTGATCTAAAAAGGATATCCTTCCTTTTAAGTGATTTATTATTAATTAAAGCAGTAGGAACGGTAACTTCGGTCTTCAATATTATTATAATTATTGACTTTCCGTTCTTTGCATGTGAAGGTTCAAAATTCACATACCAGATTTTTTGTTATCTAATTTACTATCTAATCTACCAAAACAAGGAAAACAACTAAGAAAATATATTTTTTTGTTAATAAATGGAATGCTAATTGACTATTTTTATATTTTTAAGATACGTTACCATAACTCATTATTATTAATAAAATAAGGAAAATCCAATATAAATTAAATAATTATCCCTCGTATTAATTTTAATATATTGACATGTCATATGATTGTTGTGATACCATTATGGTATTCTATTTTTTTTCTTTTTTTTTTTTTTTTTTTTTTTTTTTTTTTTTAGATATGAATGTTATTATCCCACAAATTAATTATTCGTGTTTAAGAGTAAGAAGTCCAATATCTTTCAATTGAACACAAAAGAAAAATGAGTTCTTTCACCAATATATCTTGTTTCTGATGCTGGTTATGTGCAACGCGAAACTGACTTAGTAGAAGAGTGAATGTTGCGATATAAAATGATTAGGCGACGGGACGGATCTTAGATCATTGTAAATCCCTCGACGATGATCTTGGTGAGCATGTGTTCTTGTATCGACAAAAGTTTTGGTTTTCATTTTTGGAACAATTTTCGATTCCACTCTATTCTACTGGCAAAATGTCGTGAATGAGGCATCGTATTCCTTTGATATTTACGAACGCACTAAGGACACGATTATTGCGGGGCGCCGAAGGAGACAACGGAAGAGATTGCAACTGGAGCGTAAGATCAAGGGCTTGTTTGATTGTATAAAGGGTTAAATCTATTTGTAGCAGGTGGAAGTAATGCTTGCTGATCAATGTTTATGTTGATATATCTGAAAATTAATAATAAAATTGACAACGTTATCAGGTTTTATGAGTTTAATTTAATTTTTGAAATGAGAATTATAATCTTAAAATACATGCTGTTCCATAATCAATGAAATGATTAAAGCCATCGTATTGTACAGAACGTTAACTAGTTTTCTTTCGCTCGAGCCTGAGAGGCCAGTGTGTAACAATCAAATTTGAAAATAACTAGAAAACTGATTAATAATGTATAAATAAATATACTCATTTCAAATTTATTAAATTAGAACAGCTCTAAACTATTTTAGTATCTGTGCTAATTTTATGATTTGTTTATGTTTTCTGAATGAAAATGATAGGAAAAAAAAAACAATAAATGCTTTCTACATGTTTATCGAAAAACAATTTATTTTAAATAAGTAAAATTAAGAACACTCATTAAATATATTACAAATAAATTGTATAAAGTGGAGCTTAAATTGATCATATTAAAGAAATTAAACATAAAATTCATTTAGGAGAAAAATTTGAGCAGCAATTTGAGAGATGAGAAAGATACAAATTTGGGGATTTTATTGATTTGTTTTTTCATATTATGCAAAGAAATAAAAGATTCAACTCAAATTAAGATACAATGGTGAATCAATTTTGTGAGTTTCCAAAATGAAAAGGTTATTCAGAAACTCCAAATCAATGAAAAGGAAAAATAAAAATGGATTAATAAATGATCAAATTGTTCTCGAAACTCGATTTTAGAAAAATAAAAATACAATTTTTTTTATTTTTTAATTAAATCTGATGTATAATTTATGCATTTATTATGTTAATTATAAAGGAAAAGAACTTTTAAGAAATTGCATTGTAAGACTATTACAGGATACT